CGCTCTTCATGCTGGACCTGTACAACGCGATGACGACCGAGGAAGAGGACGCGACACTGGGGAAGACGCTCTCTGGGAAAGCGCGTAAAGGCGCCTCTGTGGTTCCACATGGATACTCGAGCGCGTCGCAGCAGGCGTACCGCGCGGCGCCCTTGACCAGTCAGAGCCCGCCTTTGGCCACCGCGCAAGACACCAACTTTCTCAATGACGCGGACATGGTGATGAGCTTTGTCAATCTGGGTACGTATAGTTGGGTGGCAGGGTTTTCTCTTAAAGTGTGTCAGTATTTAATCCTCGTGTTCTGTTCAAATTCACCTGCATGTTGTATGTGTAAAATATTAATATTTGTAGTGTCATTTCACATTTGTCAAATCTAAACCGCAGGAAAAGTCTATTGGATATGTACCCGTTTTATTTATCTCTATACATTGATGCACTTTTCGGAATAATGACACTGCTTTTATTTGGTGTCATACTGTATTAAAATAAATACAAATAAACATTTAGCTGGCGCAGGCTACATCTCTACGGAGTTTATGTCAGTCAGAGAATGTTATTCATTGCGTTTGTTCATGTTTTATATCTGGGGTCTCAGAGATAGCCTACCGAATTTCTTTTTTTTCCCCTGCGGGAGAATGTGAACTTTTGTTTATATTTACTTTTTACGAAGTTATGCAAATTAAGAAATGCCAATTTGATGCTTTAACACGCCTATATTTTTGCGCTAAAGGGCCTCAGACATCAGAACACGTTTAAACATAAATGATGTGCTCTTTTATAGAGGGAATGCAATTACAGCCTAGCTCCTGATTTTAAATGGTAATTATTGATAATTGCCAGCTACCGTTTCGTTTGTCACAATATTACAGATTTAGTGCTTCACCAAGTTTATAAAATGTTAAATTATAGCCTATTGAATTTAGTAGACACACGGGAGTCTAGAAGGGCTGAGCTGAGTAAACAAGCTTCACTCTAAAAAATGCTGGGTTGTTTTAACCCAACTTTGGGTCAAATATGGACTAA